GTCTCGTCCATAGCTGATTCATCAAAGTGCCTATGATACGGATACATTACCCCGCAGGATGAGGCATGGCATGATACCGTTATCTACAAGATAGAAATATGTCTGTAGGTGAGAAAGGTATGTGCCAACATTGTGGGGAATGTGTGAAGACGGTGGACCATGTAGCAACACAGTGCGAAAAAATGTTACATCATGACTGTACTGGAAGACACAATGAGGTCCTAAGTTGCATCCATTTGAGATTCAGTGGGAAGTATGGTCTGAAAGCATCCCCTCACATGCGGAGCCACTCCGTTCAGGAAATCGTCGTTAATAAAAATGTAAGGATACGCGAGTAAGAGCAGCTATAAACATGTGTGGATCGACCGGATATCATAAGAAGCGACGTGAAGTAATTCTGATAGAGGTTGGCATCACTGGTCACGACAGGATGACAGCAATCGAGACCGAGAAAAGGCGAAAGTACGATTTCTCTGGCTATAAACTTTGATCAGAAATAAAATACAGGATCAAAATAATTCCTTACGTGATGACTTGAATGAGATAGTGATAAACTTCCACAAACGCTATGCAAAGGAGATCAGTATATCTGATCACGTTGAGACATACACCCAATCGATAGTTCTCTAGAAGACGCTTTCCGGCATCTTCTCCGACATCGATATGGATTCCACGACGATGGAGCAAAAACGATGAGTACAACAAATCTGAGTGCGGGACAAGTACAGCCAGAGTGCCGGAATACGATCCAGCACCAGAATCAATAAAGCGAAAAAGAAGACTAACCTCTTCTACATTTTCTTCCCTTTGTATATTATATATGGTGCATGGTGCTAGATCGTGTTAACTCATGGTGATAACGAGAAACTTTTTTCCTTCCGACATAAAAGTAATTTTAATAGAAAACGATGTCTTTATGGTGCAGAAGTGAACGAAAAGTGATATATGTGAAAGTATTTATAGCGCATAAAATTGACTAGTAAACATAAGATTTGAAATTGAGGAAAGAATTAACCAAACCATCATGCTGTTAATATTTTTTTAATATATTGGATACTTTCTCTTTTGATGCATTTAGGCTAAGAAACTGTCCGGTCAGCAGTGTGCTGAGGAACGACTGGTTCACGAATTGTTTCTGGAAGAATAAGTGTTCGTTGCTGGGCGTCGCGCTCATATTTATATAATTTCAGTAACGAAACCCAGATTTTCAAATAAAAATCTCTTACAATTAGTTATTACAGTTTGCAAAAACTGGTATAAAAGGAAAAGTTTTTTTTCGGTGGATTTTTTTTATCATTGCATGCTGCTTTTTTTGAAAAAAAAATAACACATGCAAGAAAAATGCAAACAAAAGTAGTCAATGAAAATTACTACTTAAAAAATATTGTTATACATCTTTCATTTTAATTTTCCTTATCATCTGCTTGTTTTTCCTTTAAAGATAATCTTGCGTCCATTTGTTGTACATCACTCAGCTGGCTGCCACACATCGGGCACTTTTCTTTTTTTTCTTCCAGTCTGAAATGATACGCTGCAGTGTATAATGAGACCAATTTTATTTAATTACTGAGAATTATGGGCATCACAATATCAAGAATATGATGAATGGTCACCACACTACTTTCCAAATATATTTCCTTCACTCATTGGTATTAACATGTTCGAAGTCCGTCATTTCTGTGCTTGCAAAAGGAGATTTCCCAAAGTATCTATGGGTTCTTTATCACTTTTAAATGCATATAATTGAAAAATAAATAATACTGACTTTGTATTAATATTCACAGTAAGTTCCACCTTAGTGTTCTGATGTTTCAAATTTTTTCATGTTGTCAGACTTTTTTCGAAGTAGGTATGAATCATTAATTCTATTTGCATTTCTAATGAAGCACACACTACAACATTTCATAACATGTTTAGTAAGCTGCTTCTCCTATTTCCTAGAGTTATTAATCGTTCAAGAATATAAGAATGACGCAACAGGATAAAAATCTTAGTGAAATGAATAAAACGGATTATGAACAGACTGTTATTATGAAAGTTATACATGTTCGAAACATATTAAGAGAAAAAATGTAGTTACTTTTTTAATTCCGAATAAAAGGCAGGAAAGTTGCAAGAAGGACATACTGAGTAATCATCAGTTATTATATGAAGTCCCTGCAAAATTTAAGAATTTAATGCTGTGTTCGTGTGAAATAGCAAGATTGTATTGTAGAAAAGTATATCTCACCGTAACAATACAATATGGGATCAAATTTTTGCATGACATACAAACGAGTGATGATTCTTCCGTTTCATTTTCACAGTAAGGGCAAGGAGTTTTAGTTTCTTCTGGGTCCGGCAACTTATCTGATTTCCTAAACATTAAGTGCAAGTTAATTTAAGTCACTGCTCTTATTTATTGTTAGTAATACGTCAGATTTCTCTGTCATAAATTGAAGCATCTTAACTTTACCTCTTCAAACTCCGAAATGATGCAATGAAGCTATTCCTCAGCCCTAAGTCTGTGGAATATTAAAGAAAGTAAAAACAAACATGTAAGTTATCACTGATAACCCTTACTAATTAAGTAAAGAGCTAATCTTATCCCTAAGATTTTCAAAATCATTCTCGGGTATGTTGTAATTATGGCAAGAGCTTCTTTTAATAAACGGAATAACCTAACAATGGCTTCAATTTTTCTTCGATATCTTTCATCGATATTCTTTCGATTACTTTCTTTTAACAGTTGCACAGCGAATTTGAACGCTGATTGCTTCAGGCCAGCCTTGCTACATTCAATAACAGCGGATGTGAGAATAGGTGCGATATCTATGAAATGTAATAATACAAGAATAATGGTGAAATTTTGAATCATGCTTTTCAAATCATTTCAATATATTCCTGAAATGAAGGAACAGTGATTCCCACTGTGGTAAGTAAAAAAACAATAGTCCTCACTGCTTGAGTCTAGGTAGCCTTCAAAACTATGCTCGCATAACTCGATTATTTTGAATTTTTTTTTGCACGATTATTTTTTGTTCTACAAAGAATATTAAGTAGTTTTACGTGTTGGAAAATGACTGACGCTGTTCGCCACTCTAATTAACATTCGAGCAGCCTTCTTGTGTTCATATCGCTTTACCAAATTCTAAAAAATCATGAGACCATTTAACTCATCACTTCCTAAATTTTGATACATTAACAAAGAAGAATGGAAGGTACGCATTTGAAAAGTCTTTGTTCTTTATTCTTCAAAACCTTATTTAAGAATCACTTATTAAATGCAGTTTCGTTATTCCAGAATAGCCATGTTTTGAGAAAAGAAGACAGCATCTTAGAGGAAATTTGAAATAATACAATTCAAGCCTACACAAATGTTTACCAAGTAAATATAGGTGCAATATAAAGAAAATATAATTTATCAGTTTTTCTTGCAATCTCATAATCAAATGATATTAGATATGAAATTTTCTTCCGAAAATATACCTTAATTATAAGGTAACTGTGCAGCAGCATTAGATTATTTTGGATTTCAAACGGAACTTTGATTTTCTTATTCTGCATTTCTCGGTACATTTCAAGTAATAGATCATGTGCTAGTCTATATGAACCATTCATCTGCTCTTCAGCTGCTATTATCACTCCTGTTTTTGCTGCTTCTTTATACATCCTCATTGAAATATAATATTTGAATAGAAACTTCGGATTCTGGAAGTTTTTGAATTCATTTTGATAAAGTGCAGTTTCAAATAGCAGTCGAACTACAAAATCGGTGTTTAACCTTGGACCTAAAAGCCGCCTCTTAAAACTTACGGTAGAGAAAACAAATTTTTTTAAATGGCTTATTAAGCAGAACTTTGAAAAATCCACTCCATAGTTGTCATAAAATAAAATTTCATATTATGTTGGAGAAATTATAACAAATAAAATTTCATTATGTCATTTCGTAAAAAAGATTCATTTTTTAATAAAATAGTGTGACCTTAGGAACACCATCAGCTTCTCCAAGCAAATAGCTAACTAGAAGTGAGCTCAAGTTCGGGTCTTTCGCTTGAGAGACACATTCTATTGCTGTTTCTACTGCTTCTGCATTTTCTTCATTCGTTAACAAATAATCTAACGCCTAAGACATTACCAACTTTATAATATCAGAAGACTAAGATTTTTTTCGTAAAATTCATCTGTTTTACTTTCAATAATAATCAATGCAACCAGTGAATTTTTTCAACAACTACCAAACTTTGCCATACTCTAAAACTAGTAAAGAATTTCCACACAATCATAGTAAGAAATTTATCACTTTTCTTAGAGGATAAATCACAAAGACTTTTTTATTTATGTCATGCCTTCAGTTTTCTGATATTCAAGGATACTTTGTTGACATTTTTCGGAAGTCAAAAAAATTAAACATATTTCCATGAAGTCCTTCAGATGTGTGAAAAACACTCCGTCCGGTCATTCTCTAAAAGAAATGAGAAATTCAGTCTAGCGATATATATTATTATGAATATAAAAACCTTGGAATAATGCCCAGCTTTATAATAGAAATGTCCTGCTTTCTGCATATTTTTGTTTTTTGCATAATATCCTGCTAACTTTAAAAACACGTCAACCAGCCCTTCGTTTTCGATAGCATCAGCAAAAACATCCATTTTCTGTTCCATTTCAGCCAAATTGTATGCTTCCTTAAAAATATCTCGAATGTTCAATGCTTGATTCATAACAGTGCAAAAATTCATCAGTTAAAATAGATGAAATCAGTTATTTCAGACACAAATCTTGTTTGACACGTAAATTTATAAATCTTCACACAAAAATGTTTAAAACTCATGACAATACTTCATATTTGTGTACTGTTTTTTTGCGCAAGAGCTGCCAATAGTAAACTTTGACTTGCAATCTGTACAGATTATGAGAAATCATGATTTTTTGATTGATAAAGTAGTGCACTTTCACCTGATGACATTGAGAAATAACCAAAAACTGTACAGCCAATTCGAAATCTCCGAGTTTCGTGAAGAATCTGCAAAATGATTACAAATAAGTGCAATAAGGTAAAAGATGTGTCTTAAGATCTGCATCTTTTCAACTAACGATAAATAAGTAACATAGTAACATAAAGATAAAAATTACTTTGCAATAAGTTTGGCTCCCTCAATATTTCTGTTTTCTCGTATAATGCGTACTGCTTCTTCTGGTCTATTTAAGTGATCTAATAAAATTCTCACTAAATTATGATAATCTCGTGCATTTTTGTATGCCTAAAAACTTTTTCACAATAAAGCATTTTTAAGATTTAATATCAAATTTTACTTACATTCCTATATGCTAATAAAGTTATTAACATAAAAAATGCATTATTTTGTATCAAACAAACTCTAAGTTATTACAAGCGCAGCTTGCATGTATTTCTTTTCCTCTTCCATAACTTTACCATACAGTGAATGGATTTTAGGTGATTGAACTTTGTCCAGTAAATCACCCACTTTTGTCCTGTAAAGACCATGAGCATATTTAATTATCGTACGCTCAATACGTACATTAGAAAGAACGTTATATTAACGTGAACCATATATAACTAGAATTCGAAACAAATAAAAAATTTTTAGCTGAATTCAAACTTAGCATAACCAGTTTTTTGCTTTCAATGAAGCAGCGGCAGCCTGATCATAAAAATGTCCAAGTTCATATAAATATGCTGCATCGTTGAATTGCTGTAAAATAATTAACTGGTTCAAAAAGTTCCACTTTTACCATACTAAGTTCTTTTCTCACCACTGAAATTTTTATCAAGTGAATTAAATTTGCAAACAAACTCTCAAATGCTCCAAAATAATAGCACAATCACGTTTCACAGCTCGTCCTTTGATATTTGCAGCGATTTCAATACCTCTGCAACAGAAACTGAGATAAACTTCAGAGAATGTATCAAAACCTCTCTGAAATTACATCCTTTTCAGATTTTTTAGTCAACAAATAAAAAAATTATATTAAACTATGAAATGAGGACAAAAAAAGTCAATCACCTGCGAATATTGCCTGTATGAATGCACATCCGTGCAATGCCACAATTGCACAACTCGTTATGATCCAGAAGCTGTAAAACTGACTTAGAGTAAAATAAGCTACTTTCTGCTAAAATAAAATGCAGTACGAAGATACTGAAACTTTGTTCAATAATATAAACATGAAAAATATTTAAGAAACCTGCTCATTACTATCGTCTAGATTTTCAATCAAACCATTTTCATACTTTTCCAATGCTAGAGTATAATGCCCTCTGTAAACTGATACAATTTATCACAAAACACTGGCACTGAATTGCAAAACGTATTTTTTAATAACTTTTGTTACTACATTACCACGTTTCTCATGGATATGTTTAACAAGCATCTGATTAGTCAGTTATGATAACTTAAGCGCGAAAACTTGCATGAACTCTAGATGCTGAGCAAATTCCTTTGAAATCTTTGGCATTTCTTCCGGAGATAAACGCTTTGCTAGAATCAATGCCTTATCCCATTCCAACAAATCTCGACGCATCTAGAGTGAAAACTCATTAAACACACGCCAATTTTTAGGTATAACGCAATTTTCAGGTTTGCAGTAAGACTAAAAGACGATATCAAATTTAGAGCTCATTAGAAAATCTTTTAAAAATAAAAAGTCTGGATAATCTTGTATATAAGAAGAATAACATATCTTACATCCAAAGCTTCAGTAGGTTTACTAGACTGGAGAAAAAATTTTTCAGCTAGATCATAATTTTCTAACAGCAACGACAAATGTCCATAAAGCAAATTTTTCTCTTCAACATGTCGTATCGCTTCCAAATTCCACACAATGCCTACAGCATCAATCTGCTTGAAAACTCGAATAGCTGAAATAACTTTTGTTGTTTAATTCAACAAGCAATAAATAAAATTCTCTAAAATTCATTTTGGATCAAATTTCCGTGTAACCTAAATTCACTTCTCCATTTTTCATAGCTGCAACAGCATATTTTCTCCAATGTTCCGACTTATTAATGTGTTCACAGATCTTCCAAGCATATGACCACCTTAAATTTTTTGAAAATTATTTCATCGTGTGACCGACGGAAGATGCGTATAGTTGAAAATATAAAACTATTGTATGAAAGTATGAAAAGCTTCATGCGGCACATGAAACAAAACAGACCTTCCTAGACTCAAAGATTGGTTCAGTAGACTTTCCAGCTAAAAATAAACATGATTAACCAAAAAAAATCAAAGCTTGTAATTATGAAGCAGAAGTTTTGAATATTTTGTAAGTCAAAACAAAAAACAAAATAATCTATCTAAAATATAATTGCTGGGCTTGTACTGACAGTACTAGAGGATTTCCCTTCAAGCATTGTATCAATTCGATGACTATCCAGCAATATGCTACCAATTCCTCCACTATGAGTTTGGCAATACACAATTCCTTTGCAAAGCATTAATGGAACGTGACCAAAAGGTATTGTAGTTATGCCAACTTTTGTTAAGAAATCATCTTAAAACAACAAAAATCAGTCCGAAACTCATAAGCTGCATTAAATATTACTTTATAATCAGTTCATTTCTGTTTACTAAGTTAATGATTAGCTGAAACTCACTATCTATTCGATTTCTATTCACAATAATGACGTGTATAGATTCAGAATCACACACAACAAACGTGTCCCGATCTACGGTAAAGTTTTCCCATAAGCAGTTTCGGAGCTGTAGTATTGAAGGCTTCAATTTTTTTCTTTCAATCATCTTTTTATTTTTAATATTTAATATATTTCGTTACCTAACACTTTGTTAGCAAGTAATTCGATAGAAGTTTTTTAATTTATAGATCCAAAACTTTCATTTAAAAGAAATATTTATTGAAACTTGTAGTTTTTTTTGAACCTTTCTCTCTTTTTGACAAAAAAGGCAAGCGGAAACTAGTAAACATCAATGAATTTGAAAATGCACTTCAAGAATTTGACTTCAGCGACATGAAAGAAAAAATTACACAAGCACTGGAATTAATCGACGGAATCTTTAGAAGTGAATCATCAACAGGAGTATAAAAATAAACATCCAAGCGTTCATCAAAAAAACAAAGCCTGATTCCTTCCGGCTCTGGATATAATGATGTGATTCCGACCACATGTCTATATTCACTCACATATGCGTTGTCTGCTAATGAGTAGTAATATAAGTGTCCACTCTGAAAAATAATTTAAAATTTGCTAACATCAGTTAAATCTCAAATTACAAGATACAAATACCTAAAATACTGAAAATTATACACTTGTGCAGTAAATGAGGAAATTATCTGTGAGTGCAACATCCTCTAATTTGGAATTGACATGCTTAGAGTCCGGAATAATTAATCCATTTTCTTCGACAACATGCATTCCATTTTCATCGCACAGCTGCAGTATTTATTAATGACTAAAACATTCATATAAAAAAGCAGAGCTTAAATCACGCTTGAAATTTCACCATTGCAATAAAGTAATTACTTTTTTTCGTCTCTGAATAAAGTGATTTGACTCTACCAATCAAGAAAACACATATATCAAACCCTATGTAGTTGTGCTTGACCATCTAATTTAGCAACAACATATTTCTCATTCAGCAGCAAAGCAATCACTGTGGATAAATATTCGACCTCATAAACTCGTCTCACTCCTGAATTTTATTTTCACAAAAACATAAGATTTTGCTATTTGGAACACAAATAAAATATGTAAGTTTCAATGAACAATATTAAAGGCAACACACATATAATGTGAGCATTTCATTTCTCTTCCTTTAGAAACTTTAAAAATTTTAATAAAATAATCTTAAATTACTGACCTTTTTCTTCAACAATGTTATGAAACCAAACGCGAGTATTAATTGCTGTGGCAATATGTCGTGGACCCAGAGCTATTACTGTTGGTTCCAAATCAATTTTCAATGTCGATAACGGGCCCTGAAAAAGAATGTACCAATTGAATAATTTTCAAAACTATTACCATTCCAAAATAAAAACTAGAGCAATGAAAATAATTACTTTTTCCCCTTCTCTGAATAAAGTGATTTCATTTAATGATGATAAAATGGCAATGGTATTACGATAAGTAACTGCTAGCATTGGCAATTTCAACAAAAACACATATAACATTCCAGAGATACTATTAACAGCAATTAATTGACCGTCATAGTTTGCCTTAATAATCGACAAACCTGAAAAACTTCTAAATTTTTCGCATTCCTTAACATTATTAAGAAAAAATTTGTCAGATAATAAAAATGTTTAGGAAAATAGCTACAAAGAGGAACTATCAAAGCACCACTTTCTTGACATTTTGTTAATGGTAACACTATTTTCATTGATTAGTATTTTATAAATGCTTTCAACCTCCAATTTTTTCATAAAACTTTCCAATCCTTAAGCATAACATCAAAATGCTTTATTAGTTGAAACAGCTCTTTTTGTCAATGGCAGAATGATCCACATCAAACTGAAAGACAACAAAATCATCTTCAAACCTTTTCCTTCATTATGCACTTCATGAATTTCTACAATTTCTTCTTGTTTATTCAGTTCACGAACTCTAATCCTGAAAAAAAAAATAATGTAATTTTAAAATCATTAAATGCTCTTTTTGAAACAGCTATTTCAAAAATCTTCACAATTTTTTAATACAAAGTTTGTGATTTTTTAAAAATTACTTTCACCTATTTTCTTTCGAGGAAAAAAAAAGTCTTTTCTGAATTAGTAATTTAAAGGAAAAAGATTAAAATTCAACTGAAATTTCATAGATACTAACTGATTATTCCCTGCAAGTATAATTTTTGCGACTGATTCATTGATGCAAACAGAAGACAAATATGTCTTAAAATCTTGTACCGAAAATATTTCCTAAAGAGTACTTTTGTTTTAGATGCATGGAAAGCTTATTAATATAATTCTGAGATAGCTGCAACTTGAAATATTAAAAAAAAACTTTTTCAAAAAGAAGGTTTTCAGTAATTAACAGACCCGACCAACTTCAGGAGGATTCGTAGTGATACAAACAAAAAAGCCTTTACTAAAACCTAGCAACAACAAATCACAACGAAACCTGAAATTCTTTCAAATTTAAGTTTGTACTAAATGGAAAAATACTTTTTATCAGTTTCTATCAAATTCATATAGCCTTTACTTGTGTTTTCATGGAACAAAAAGAAAAACTCTTATACTATTAGGACTATAAATAACGCCTTAAATAACAACTAACCAACAGTATGATGTAATATTTCCATAATGGACATGGAACTGGAGATAGATGGGATTTTCTGCATCACTTAGCTTTACTAATACCAAGATTTTATGTCCCAAAATGGCGCTTACCTAGAACAAGCCTGCTATATATATTTCAAAGTACTTAATCGACCTAAATATTGAAGATAAAAATATTAAGTGTGTATGCCTACTAATTTGAATAGAGCAATACAAAAGAATTTAGCTGGCTATTGGTACACAACTTCAAGGAATAAATCATGTTTTTCATAAAATCAACCACTGTATCACTGTAGTCCGTAACATGTTTTGCATCAGAGAACTTTATCATCGATGGATCAGCACCACAACTAAACGAAAAGATTGAATCTCCATTAATGTTGCTGATTGAAACTGAAGCATCCGATGAGCCTAATGCAAGCAGATCATCATTTGAAAATGCTCCACATGTTATAGATCGCTGATGCTTGCCCAATACAGAAGTTTTGCTGAAAAAATTACTCTTCAAAGCAATAAACTCTTTCTTCTTATTGTTTTGAAAAATATTTGTACTTTCCAGATAAGTTTTTCTTATGATAAAACGATGTGCTCTTTTACGCAAAAATATACACTTAGGTTTTTTATTTTTCGAGAAGTATGAAATATCTTTTTCTACTTTAACCTCCACAATATTTTTGTTCTTCCTTTGCAATCGTGACTACTAAATTTAAAATTTCTTTACAGCCAAGGATCTCTCAGCATTGGATATCTTACTTTATTTCGATCTTTTATTTCACTCATTTTCCATTCCATTACCTTCCACAGTACTAATAAATATGATATGTTATGTTATCCAAATTTTATTGCATCGTTATATCTAAATTTTCTCAAAATGAACAGTTCCTACGAATTACATCAAATTCTTATTTCATTCCGCATCATTTATGTGCCGAGTAGCTTAAAAGCTTTAAAACTCCCGTTAATCTTCTTGAGTGAAAACAGCAATACTACAAAAAAGTACTGTTGTAGATTTATGGATAAAAAAATCTTAAAAACTTATATAAAAGAATTAGATTTTATTTCCACAGTGCTGACTAATATCTGCAAAAAGATTCTGACCGTAAGGTACGTCGATTGTAAAGAAATAAATTCCCAGTACTATTGCCAACAGCCAGAACTGGAGAATTATGAGACCACAAAATGAATGTTGGTATTTCTCTGGAAAAATTCAATGTAAATGTAAAACAAATGTCACTAAAATTCGAATATTACATTTGATTGAGTTTTGACAGTTAACTAAATTTTGTGATGAAATATTATCATCAAAATCAAAAAATGTCTGTCTCGAATTACTGTCTTCAAAAAAAGATGAATAGCACTTACTTTCCACTCGTACTGTTATCCAATTTATCTACCTTTTTCGTGGCAAATTCCCATAATGTGACTGAAGTACTCCCATCATTTATAATAGCTAAAACATCACCGTCATGATCCCATGATACTGACTTTACACACCTGTATAAGATTTTCTTTTCTTATAATGTGAAAATATCTATACATATACTGAATATACTAGACTATACATATAAAGAATTCCCATTCAAATCACGAAAGAATCAAAACAGTTTTTTAGTAGAGTAATAAAGCTTTGCAAAAAATAATTCCAAGACGATAACTATAAAGGCAATCTTACGTTGCTTGAGGTAACTCATCAGTCACTCTTCCTCTTCTATCATATATCCTAACCACATTATTTAATCTAAAAATGAAATAAAATCAGCTTTTTCAAAGCAGTTACACAGTTTATTTGAATATTGAGATAAATTTTCTCTTCTGACTTTTTACAAGAAATTATTCCTTCATTTCACTGACTTATAATACTTTGCCCCAATATCTTTAAGATGAAACTATTAATTATCAAGGACGTTCTGAAATAATACATAAAACTAGGTAAAATTCCCAACATTAGTCATGGTTGAGAACATAAATACCTCAGTAATTATACTTTGCCTAAACAATATGAATACTATACATTTTACACCAAAATGATTTTGAAAAAAGCACCCAACAGCAAGATAATGTCCCCATGGACGCCATTCAAAAACCGGTTCATTGTTCCTGAATTCACTTTGAGGCAAACTGTATAACAACTATAAAAAACAAATTATACGTTCTACAGCGACTCTGCAAGAGAAGAATAATCATGACCTTTTGTCAGCTGTATTTAAAATTGTCCACTCACAAGCACTAAAATCTAATTCATCTTCCTCATAACAGATACCCTATCAATCAAAATTGCAACCACATTTATGGAGTAATGTAACCATTACAATTCAGACTTACCTTCATTTCCAAAAAAGAATCGTCTAAATGGCTTTGAACATAATTTTAGCAATCCAACAGGGATCCACTGCCGTTGCCAAGCAACTAACACACGAAGGTAGAGACTCCAAGGAAACAACGAGTGTCCACATCATTTGGTATCAGTCCTAACACAACTTTCACAAATAAACGTAAAATTTTCGAAACCATAAATACACCAGATAACTTCAAACACCGCTCACTTTCAGTCTCCATATTACAGGTTAAAAGGATAAACTTAGGACCTCTTCTATGAAATCATTTTTACGTGGGTCAAACATTCTCAAATGTACTTCAACAAATTTAAGCATCAACTTTATGAAAATATTACTTATCAAGAACAGTCCTGCAATACAAAAAATGGACACATACATACTAAGTTAAAATATGCAGACATGGTAACAGACATGATAACATCAATTTCATACAAATTATTATTTTTCAACAAAAATCAGGTTACAAGAGTAAAAACTATAAAAAAAATTATTTTCTCAAGAAACAAGTGCAGATGCGGTAGATGACTCATATTTCCAAGTAGTTGGCAACTGACGCTTAGTTTTATAGTAACGAGCTAAACGATGGATACGTGATTCGACAAGGATCAGTCTGTATTTTGAGTCTTTATCCTACAAATATCAAATGTTAATTTATATAACAAATTCATAAGGACAATAAAAAGGTCACACTACTCTTTTATTACAGCTTTTCACTCGTTAGACACCACTAGGACAATGCATTTTATAGCACAAAATTCAAGAAATCAGTTAGTAATCTAAAAATTTTTTACAAACCTTGCGATTTCGTTCCAAATGTTTACGAATGTTAACAGCTTTTTTGATCAAATGATATAAATCCTCTGGAAGTTCAGGTGCCATGCCCTGAATGACAAATTTTAAATTTCCGCTATTCAATTTTTAGATGAAGTATCGAATGTAAGATGAAAAATTAATTCAACAAGGTCCAAGAATAATTTTAAAGCACAGAAATACAAATCCTACTTTAGCTTTCAGGATTCGTACAATTTTGTTGCCAGTAACACGTCGAACTTGAGCAACTCCATGTGAATCACGCAATACTACACCGATCTGTGACGGACGCAAGCCCTGCAAAGCTTATTGAAACACGCCTTCCTCAGTGCTTTACTGTTAAGCAGGCAAAATATACCGACTTAATTATAATGCACATTTTGAGAAATAAAACAAAATATGTGGAGTTCATTCATGAATTAAAATAAGAGTGAGAAGAATTGTAACAAAAACATTACTTTTATCTGCATTCCCTTTGTAATTCTGTTGAAAACAAACGAATGTAGTCAAAAGAAAGAGTAGTGTACGAATAAACACGCACTTGACTTAAAGCCGTCTATTCATTAAGAAAGTTTCCAGTGCCATAATAAATAAATATGAAGGAAAAACAGAATGAAGAAATATAAAGAAAAAAATATTTGCTAACAATTTGCAAAGAGTCTATAACAAAGCTTCAATAAATTACTTTTTTCGCAAGCAAAGTGATTTGCTCTTGAATTTCTTCACTAGTCAACTTAAGCCAAGTTGGTACTGATCGGCGATATGGTAAAGCCGATTGCGAAATACCTTTGCCTGGATTGTGCATACGACCCATGATTGATACTTATTACCTACACTAGTTTTTCTTCCTTTACCTCGACACCTTAAAAAATTTTAACTAATTTGATAACTTACTGGGATTAAATTACTTACACGCCATATTATGACACAGAAATGACACAGGATAAAATATAAAAAATGTAAGAGAAAAAAAATGGAATAAAAAATGAACTAAAGTGAAAACAAAAAGAAACATTTGAGAGTAATAAGAAATGAGACAATGCAAAGGGATAAATCAAAGGTTCATCCAAATTACACTACTTCATTTGTGATCAATCTTCATTCTGAAACTAATCTCCAAATCACAAACTAACAAACGACATTAACGCAGACTTAAGCAACTTCTAGAAACTATAACCAGACATTAAAAACCTACATTACTTCCACTGCTCTCTTTTAACGAGCGAGTGTGATCATTGCGTTATGAAAATTGTCGTCTCAAGCAGAATTGCAATTTTCAAATGTCTATTTTCTCTTAATGGGATCAGTGTTTCTAATTTCTCTACATTCACTATTTAAGGATTTTTTGCTATGTTGATTGGCGGTCTTGAGATAAAACCTGAACCTAATGTAAATATTCTGGTGATTTTACGTGATGGTAAAAATGAGGAGGTAACAACAGACAATGAGTCATTTCATCTCTTGTGTACGATATGTGCGTCAAATGTGACAGATGATCAAACAAAGGTGGGTCGTCCTTCGTTTTCTTAAATATTGATGTTTTATTATGATCTTGATAGTTTTGCTTTGTTGCCTCATTATTGTACCTAGTCAAGTAAGAGTTACTTTAAAAATTGCTTGCAAATGATAAAAAACATCATAAAGAAAAGTGAGCATGCAATTAAAGACTAGAATCCCTAAATTTTTAAAGCTCCGCTGATTGCAGATTTATTGGCTACGAGGTAAACCACCCACAGTGCTTCCGGCAGAATGTACGTTACAACCTCGACAACTTTCACGTATAACTTTACGATACTTTAATGAAAATCTTGTTCGTGGTATTGTGTCATTCTGCTCTATAGCTCATAAAATTCCTGGTCAGATTGTTGTTATCGTAAGTTATTTTTCATCACTTTTGCTTGATTCCGATGTACGCTCTCAAAATAATTGTAATTACTATATTAATGTGTAATTAGTAAGTGCATATTATGTTTATCAGCTTTCATTTTATTTTTTATTTTTTCATTAGAGAATGAATAAAAAATTCAAAAATAGTTATATTTATGATTTTCTCACGATAACTTCATTGGTAATACTGCTAAAAGTGTATATCGAATCATTAAAATAAAAAATAAATAAAAGTTATAGGTCGAATTTAATGAGAATGACATGGCTCATGAGGAAACACTTCCAGGACTACTTGCGTTACTTACTGATATGGGTAATTATTACTCGACTGTTTCGAAAGGAGCACATTTTCTGCAAAATATATTTCCGGTCACTGCTTTAATTCGAACTTCACGAATTTATGAGTTTGGTTTGGTAGCTAGCTTGTACACAAACTGTATTATACGCATTGAGAATGGAATACCTAAAAATATGTTGGCTTAATTAGGTAATTGATTGTTCAGTCATAATTATACGACTTTGGTAGCATTCACTAAAATAGAAAATGATTTTTAACAGTGATCAAATAATTGGATTTGTGAGTAAATAAAGGGCATTGAGAGCTGGTATCAAAAAATAGGCCTCATTATTTTCGATATCAGCGTTTAATGAACCAATTTCTTTGCTTTGAGTCTTAATCGCTGCATGCAGTTAGATTAATTCCTTATCTTCATTCTTGAACCTTTAGCTATCACTTTTTGCATTTGTAAAGGAGATTTTTTTTCTTTTTTTCAGGCAGCTTTTTACGTTGCAGTCTAATGTAGATGAGAAGCAAGTGAATTGAAATCGGAGATTGAGGTGGAATTGTGTTGAATGTCTTTGCTTTGATAGTTCATATTTGATGTATTAAATTGTAATGCTCATAAATGCTGCCAATGTTTAAAATTTTTTATGGTCATGTTTGAATTACTTAGACTGGTCATAGGAAAAATTTGCAGTTAGTATGTCCAATAATTTTAAAACTTGTAGAATTCCTTTAATTTTTAATTGCAATAAAGGCTGCAAAATTTTCGTTAAAATCAATTTCTCATTACAAAATATGGCCGTGTTTGGATTTCCTTTATAGTTGTGAACTTTGCTAAGATTTCTTGTAGAATATTTTGAGTGCCAGGTCTAGATCTAGGAATCAACAGCTTGATGAGAAAGGCGATAAAAAAAGTATTCAGACCTTAAATAGTTAATTGCAGCAGATATGACTTATTCATTGATGGGGATGTAACTTGGTGGTTACTGGGATTTAGTCATCCGCACCATAAGTAAATACTTGAAGCATAAGTTCACTGCTGAATATTGCTTTGTTTCTTTTAATAATGTACTTAGATTATGGTGTGCGAGTAGTTGTAATGTTCGTTGATGTGAGCCATGTCGGAGATAAGAAAATGAAAATCTAATATTATTAGATGGGCTTATGAATTTCAGGCGTAATTCGTGAGGTTTGATTTGATCTACTTACCCGCTGTTAAATTTTATTGCAATATCAGTTAATTTCAGGCTTGTTTAACGCCGATAAGTGTGGATGCTATTTCAGCATGCATTCCGAAAATTTGGACGCTTGAAATCCTGTAAGTTAATTTTTGATTAAAAATACCTTAAGAGCTGCATAAAGTGTGACGTCTCGAGAACATTAACTTTTTAAGTTATTTTATTAAACTCATATTGAGCATTGCATGAGTTTACCTTAGCATAATAAATACCAAAATTAGCAATTCTGGATATTTTCCAAATTAACGCGAAACAAATTGTTTGTTCAAGTTTCAGTACCATTCCCACAAATTTGATTGGATGTGTCTCTAAGTGCCAAAAAGTGAACAAAAGAAATTTGGATGGCAAAAGTATTGTAAGTGACAGATATAAATACATGTTTTGCAAGAATTCGAGCCATGTTTTGCTAGATTTTACGATTGGTAGAAGAGTAAAGTAGAATATTCAATGTTTACTAATTAATGTTGGATTATATCCAACAGTAACGTGTAGTAAATAAGAACCTTCTTTCTGGAATGGTGTCAGAAGATTAGATAAAATAGTGTAGGATAAACCAATGTTTGTGGTCATGTCAGCTTACGCATGCATGCATGCAATGCATCAGGTGCATGCATATTGGTCCGTGCGCTTATTGTGCAGCCGAGTGTGCATACACATCATATGCGTAGGAACGCTCCACTGCACGCACGCACATGTGCACGTGCACCCTAGTGCTGGCAAATATGCTCACTTGTGCGAAGGAAAGAGACAGAGAAGAGATCGATAAGCGATTATATGCCAGCCAGTGCATGCCTTCTCGTTGTTAGATAGCCTTGGGACTCGCTGCGGTTCCTTGTCCTGGCTTGGCTTTGCTTGGCCTTACACGTTATATCAATTTCCTTTTCCTTGTTCTTCAACTGATGGCTTCAGGTCCCATAGTCACCGTATTTTTAGCATTGTTCTCACCAAATATATTTCTGCTTTCTTCTTATGTACTTTTTATAGTTCAGGTATTGTACTGTCATCGTTATTGTTGCAAGAATTTTTCATGAGAATACGTGTCAGTAATTCGTTCCGGTAGTAGCTACTCTATAAATGTCCGCGGTAGAATTTGGATTAGAGTAATAGTTTTGAGTTTCCTTAGTCCATAGTTTAGTTTGTTATACGTATTCTACTAATAGTGATTGCATGCAAATCAATTATGTGCTGACCAATATGAATGTGGAAATCAGTTCACAAGTTTTTTGGATAGCATTGTAGATCAAGCATCAAGCATAAATTGTGATATATGAATTTGCGTATGTGATGAAGAGCAGGAGAAAGAAAGTGCTTGCACAAGTGAAGGCTTATTACATTCTCCTTCACTGTGCTATGCTTGTTCCGGGTAATTTTTTCTACTTTTCGAGATATAGAAAGTATTTGTATCAGATGTCGGAGTAATGAATGTAATTGCTAGTAACTAATTATAATTATCGATTATCTGTGTACTTTTGGGATGAAACCTCTAGTTTTGGAGAATGAAAGTCGAAAGCAGACCGATGTTCAGTGATTGGTTGGAATTTAATACTTATCGATTGGTTAACATTTTTGAACAGCTGATGGGGGTATTCATCAGAAAGGGCTTAGTAATTGTGTACATACGGTGTAATTTTAAGCCAGTAGAACGAAGTAGGTAGATTGATGTTGGTTGAGTTCGCAGTATATGATATTATGTGTAACATCGCACGAAGTGGAAAGTTTGATATTACAAGTGATAATGATAAGGTGGCGTGCTTGGTTATCAGTCCATTTTATCATTCGCTCTTTGAATGAAGTGATGCTCTGAACAAATGTGATTTGTGTACAAAGACATGGTGAAGAAAAAAAGAGATAAAAAATGTATGTTAACTGGTTTTTTCGTGATGTCCTTATGGCAAAAAAGTAACGACGATGACTAATAAAAAGCAAAGAAAAAAAAGTAATGTTGATAGTAGCTATGGTAGTAGCGATGGTTACACGTTTTACAAGTCATTTCGTATGTTTGATTCATTAAGGTATTACTGCACATCAGGTGCAACCTGTATTGGTGGTCTCTGATTGAAAGGAAGAGTTTATTCGAAGTAGAAATAGGCCTATCAATCTATTCTCGTCAATTCATTTACGCTTACATTTATGCATACATCAGTTTGTTCCTTTTCTACCTTCTCAAACGTAGAAGTGTTTGCTCTGAAACGTTCAATTTTTCTTTTATTGTTTGTGCGCATTTTACCTGGTTAGTCATTTGTACGCGTCTTTTTCTTTGTATTTATTTATCTGTGTAGATAATGGTATATGCATGCATGACTTGATGACAATGTATTTGACATTTCTGGAGTTACTGTAAAAGGTGATGTCGGCGTCTTGATAGTTTTTTTTGCTTTCCGATTTGTAACTTAAGATGTGAGCTATTTGAGGATAAAAGAATATGTAGATGATTATGAAGATGTTTCACTAAAGCAGACGTACTTATGACTGGTGCTTATGCAGTGGAGGATTATTAGTGTTGTTGATTAGTGATGTATGCATTAGTGACAGGTTCAGGTTGATGCTGAATGGCGAGCATATGTTTGGTTGGGATGCCTAAAAGATAGTGAGTACTCTTCCTAGCCATCTCAATAGATTTTTAGCTGAATAAAACGACTAGTTTTGTATTGCTTGTTCTGTACGTATGTGTCGCTAGGAGGTGACATTTGGCAAGAGCATTCATTCTCCGCTCAAATATCAGATTCCCATTCCTTCCCTCTCCCATTGTTCTGCATGTTGCAGACACTGCAAAAAGTTCCCTCAATTTGGCGCACTTTTCTCGATTTCTTTTTAGTACATTCAAGTATTCTGTCATTTGATAATGCTTGGTTACTTCGTCACCTGCCAGTTTGTATAGATAATTTTTTGCTATCGATTCGTTCTAGTATAAATGGTTATGTAGGATAGATGTTTTATATGCAGTGGAATGATGCTGGCAGTGGTGGAGAGTGAGTGCGTGAGTCTGTGTCAGTATAGTTCATTTGCTTAGTTAGTTGAAATTTATGGGTGACATTGCTTTGCATTGATTAAGTTTGGGGAAGGTAATATCTATAATTGAGTTTGGGAGAGGGTGTGTGTGTGTGTGTGTGTGCTTCGTTTAATTGTATAATTGTATTTGAATTCATTTACCTGTTGGGAGTGGCAAAAAGAAGAAAATAATCTTCATTCGCGTGTTTCTTCCACCTGTGCACAGGAATTGAGTTGTATGTATGTGTAAAAGAAAAATTTCAAGGTTCTTTTTCTACTTCAGACGTCGTTTTAAAGGTTTTTTTGTGGTTACAACTTGTCTTTGAATTCACGATAGTAGCAGCAGTGGCAGCAACCATCGTTTTCTGCTCCTCTGCATTCGTTTGTTTTCACGGAAATCAATATTAAAAGGCTTGTGGGAGCAAAAGCTAGTGCAGCATAATAATAGTAGTATGGTAGCGGTAGTACTTTTCATGGTTCGCTTCTTGGCACAAAATAGAAGCTAGTTCTGTTTTGTGTTCTGTTGGTCTTCTGTTTCTTTTCATTTCCTGCAATGAAAACAAACTGTGTATTAATAAATTCGTATGCTTGTTGTTGACCAACCTGAGGGAGAAATCTCTTTTTTAGGGCTATGTAAATGAATAACTGTAGGTTGTTGGTAAGTGCGGAGTAGGAAAGGCCAATAAACCTCATTAAAAACAATAAGGAATTGTATGAGATATTCCTTTAATACTTAAGTGATATAATTATGCTCATCTCGTTTTTATTCAGTAAACGAAGAAAGTGCATGCATCTTTTTTTTCTTGTGCATCTCTTTACTTTCATAGCACCAAGAATCAGTCTTTTGGTTGATGCAATAGTAATTTTTGGAATGCAATATGTAATAATTGAATAGTAGTAAGGTTAGCCATAGCTTTGTCATCTAGCGCGGAAATACATGGCTTTTCATTAATTATTGGAAGTTGTTTTATGATGGATTTAGGTTAAAGAAGAGCAATTGATAAACGGGCGGCAGTGGCAAATATCCCGGATGAAGCAGGCACTTCTCGCCATGAGAGTGTTGTGGTGAATAAGGTAAGTTTATCACTTTTTTCTTATTTTTTCCAGCAGTTATTTTCGATGTGTCTGATTTTCATTTAAAGAGCATTACATGGATAGTTATGAAAACTCACTAATTATTGGAACAAATATTTTCCATAATTAACTTGAAGTAGAAAGACGTAAAAAGACTGAGTGTACTACTCTCGAAGTGATAATAGCTTACTATTGATATTAACGAATATGAAAGTTTTTACTTTCATTATGTCTTCTCTAAAATATTTTGCTGTTTGTTCTTATCCCCAAGTAGTAATAATAATGATATTATCGAATACTTGTAAAGTTAAACTTGGGATTATTTTGTGCTGTTTCCTTTTTTATTACATTTTGTTTGTTCAGGAAATGCTGGGGGGTTGTTGCGTTTGTGCTGACGAAAATGGATGGGAATCTAACCCACTGGTTTATTGCGACGGTCCGAACTGTGAAGTTGCTGTTCATCAAGGTGAGCAACTTGTATATCAAGTCTTTCTTGTTACATTTAAGCTGTTTTTTTAATCTACATACTTAGTCTTTCATTTCCCTGATTTTGACAAAATTCGTCAATTTTTACTAGTTTTTATCGCGCAATTCAGTATTTCTTATCATTTATCGTTTATATTTTGTTATTGAGAAATGAAGTTGAATGTTGAAAAATTTTGGTTGGTTAGTTTGTATTGAAATTTATGCTATCTATTGATGAAAAGGCCTTTTGATTTAATTCGATATTTCGTTAATGTTTGCAAGAATGGTTAACAACCATTGGGCCTTCTTCAATCATTATGATGCGAAAACCGGTCATGGTGTTTTATGAAGGAGATATTGTTTAGTTTTAGTTTTCATTAGAATCACTTCTCTACACTTTTTCAAGAACGAAAAGATTGTCAGTTATGGGAACGTCTGTGACTGAACAAATAGGGAAATTTAACGGCTTGGGATATGGATAATGTATTGTTTGCTGTTCATTTGTATAGGTAAATAAGTGTAACATTTTTGTGACTTGTGCTTTACCTAATTCAGTTGGAAACACATAATTGGTGATTTTTTTCTACATTGCTACACTTGGAATATGCACTTGCAGTTAACTTTACTATTTGGCTACGTAATAAATGGATACTTTTTTCTTATTGAGGTGGAATTTCATTTGTGATTTTTTAATAGTTAAAAAAAAGTTATTTTAAGATTAAGTAATTACTAATCCTATGAGTAATCTCTGTAGCAATATTATCCTTGTGATAGGAAGATGGGACAATTTCGAGAGAATAAATAAATGGTATGCTACAAAATTGGGTTATTCTTGCTTGATTTTTCTATCCATATTGCTTGTTTCCTTGTGAATCTAAATAGTTACTATTCTGTTCTCTGTTCGTAGTCGATTGATCGTTGCAGTTATGCAAAAATTACAGTTTATTTTCATCGTGCTTTTTTAAACTTTTCACACCAAGTGACTAACGTGCTCCTTATTTTTTGCCACTGTTTCATTACACTATTGCAAGTAGTGCTATTATCTAGGCGGTCAGTTTATTAATAAGGCAACAGTGTCATCTCATTTCATGTCAAGCCCAGTTATTGCTTTGAATGCACACAGATTACACCTTATGATTATGATTCAGTGCAGTTGTAATGTGCATTCATAATAATTCGTATTTGTTGCTCTCCATTGGGAAGCGATGTGAATACACTTGCTTCTGCTCAGTAAGTGATGCTTTATTTTGCTGAAATGAGCACTTCTTCAATCGATTCATGCCAATATTTTATTTGTTTATTCTTCCCACGTTTGCTTCCTTGCTTTTCTTGTGCACATAGAAATATAGCCAGGTTGTTGGAAGAGCACTTTTCAGTTAGAAGTTAGCGAAATAGAAGAACGATGGCGTTATTATTTATCATCACCATCATCATCTCCAAATTGTTGTTGCCATGGTTTACTTCGGCAATAGTTATCAAATAGCGTCAGTCAATATAGCTGCTGAAGGGAAGAATTAAATAATCTCTCCTTATACCTTATACTTGCCCATCACGTGGTACGATGATGCTTTTCATTTCATTGGATACATTAGTCTTGTACACTGCTCCTCAGCTGCTGCATCATTACTCAAATATATTGTGACCATAAATTTGACTCTGACATGGCAGTTGCAAATTATATGTAATATATGTGTATTAGCAGATGGAAAGTGCGTTGAATAGACATACTGATAAATAGTATTTTGTGTGTTTGTATGTGGAGTAAATGATCAAGTCATTTATTCAAGGCTTGGGAGGCGAAAAAATTATCTGTGCTAAATTTGTTTTTTTACTTATTACTTGCACGAGATATGCTCGCCTGTGCTGTCATATGCTTGAAATTTTTGTCACTATCATTTCTTCATTTAATGCTTAGTACTTTCATAATTTTGCTTGTTGGAGTTGCATATTAACTTCATTTACCTTATTTATACATTTTATTCCTGTTAGATTTTGTAGCACATATAGTATTATATGATAACCAGTGACAAAATATTTTTTGTAAGATATTTTTTGCAGATGACAAGAGTCACTTTCAATATAATAGGTAGAAAATATGATTGGCTCTAGTATACAGTGTATAGTTTGTTTCCAAGGCTTTCTCTTCTACACGTATAAATACCCATCATTTATGCCACGTTTTTTATTATATTTGATTTTTATCTTTGCGCCAGCTTCTTATCATCCTTGATAACTTACTGTATCATCTGGATATATATTCCTTTTTCTCTGTTTCTTTTGCTAGTGTTTCTGTCATTACGAGGTCTTAGTAGTTGAAGCTTAATAGAAAATGGTAACTGATACGATATGCAGCCCTTAGTATAATATACAATACTATATTGCGCAGGAATCTTTTGTGTAAACCTTGGTTCTGTGATTTTTAGGCTGTTATGGAATTGTTGAGGTACCAGAAGGTGAGTGGTATTGTGCAAAATGTGCAGAGTTTATCGCTCATACGCAGTACAATGGAAATAACAATGATGTGGGGGAGGTACGCGAGACACCGCGCTGTAAATTATGTCCCTTCGGCCATGGTGCACTTAAGCGAACTGATGATGATGGTCAGTGCTTTACGAGAGTTTCTCTTACAATATCTCTCTATTTACCACATAGAGTAAACACTGCTAATGAATAGTACCACCCACTCTTTTCCCGGACCAGTTCCTCACTTCTCTACCACGTCAAAGAAATAAATGTAGTATTGCCAGTAATAACTGTTTTGGCTTGGAAGTGGATTGTATAACGATGAAATATGTATCATTTTCTCACTTTTTGGCTTTAGGGAAAATTGTAGCCAGCAGAGATAAGGGAGTTAGATATTGTGGGGATGGAGTTTAGAAGTGAGAAAAGCAGAGGGGACAGAGTATAGAGAATTTAATTAAATGTAAGAAGATGACTTTTTTTGTTTATTGCATTTTTCATCATTGTCATTTTAACTTGACGGAAGCAGTAATTTTTCTTAGATCGAAATTTTATTGGTTATATATATAATGAAGTACATTCGACTTTAGTTTTAGAATGGGCCCACGTCATCTGTGCTCTTTACATACCAGAGGTGCGTTTTGGAGATGTTCACAGTATGGATCCGGTGATTTTAAGTGATGTTCCACTGGAACGGTTATTCTTGTATTCTTTTATTAGTGATAAATATAAGTATTGTCAAAACGAGTAGTTTGTGTCTAATCTCTTTCGGCAAAATGCATGTGAAAAAAGTTAACTAAGATTGCTGTAGTCTTGAGAAATGAATAGTAATTACTTCATGAAATTTTTATCTAGTAAATAGTGCAATAAAATTGTTCGTGCTTTTTATAACTGTGAGAAACTCACTCCTGTTTAATTCAAATGTGAAGAGCGTGACTTTTTTTGCTGCAGAATTTGCGACGAAAATAAAAACATAGGATAAAAACAAGCAAAGTGAGTGCTGTAAATTTCTATACAATATTTACATTGCAGGTTTCAACAGCAGTGTTATTTATGCATAGAACGTGGAGAAGACAAGAAAGCATATCTTGGCGCATGCATGCCGTGTAATAAAGCTGGCTGTAAGAAGGTAACTTTCTAATTGCTAAGACTGCATTGAAAGTATATGCCAACATATTTGGCATTTTATGATAAGTTTAGACAAATTTAATTAAAATATTTGAAGAGATAGGGTTTTTATCATGGAAGGAATTTTTGGCACAAACATGTTGTATCGAATTTTGAAGGTCAAGAGATAGAAAATGGTGGTCGTAATGGCGAGATTTTTAATAGAAGTTACTTACAGTGTTTCCATGTGACGTGTGCCCAAGCGGAAGGTCTGTTATGCGAGGAAGGTGGAGGATCGAAAAATGTCAAGTATTGTGGGTATTGTGCGTCTCATGCTAAAAAAGCGGTTTGTTTCTCACTTGTTATGATTGTGAGCGAGCATAGTATACATTCATTACGCGCACGTACGTTCGGTGCTATTAATGTTGATGGGGAAGGGAATGGTGGTAATGATGGAGAGAGAATTAATTGCATCATTGCAGTAAGCTATGCGTTGATTAATCTTTGAAATGAATACAAAAGAAGGGTTGCTGGAGAGCTGTAAGTGGGTGTGATAGTGACTGTAATAGGTTGTCATAACACACAGGTGAATGAACAAATGGTAAATGTTAGGTGTGGAAGGAGGACGAGGGAAACAGTGCTTGAGGATGGTTGATGATGTTGTTAACATAATATGTCAAGAAGAGGGAGAGGCAACACAGAACAAAATTAAATTGAGATGAATTAGATGAGATGAGTTGCATGGCTGGTGTATACATACGGACAAGAAGACCGAATTACAGTAGCAATAGCAGTCATGCGGGTCATTTCCATCTATGCGCTCGGTGTTTGCCTCATGTTGGTATCGCCCAATCTTGTTCCTTTTTTCTCTCCTCTATCCCATTTATGTATTTAACTAATTAATTAATTAATTAATGAACGTATCGATCTGTCTATCTATCTGTGCATCTCTCTCTCTCAGTATTATCTTATGGCGTTTGCTGTTGTCATGAACTTCGGTTCTGCAAGCAACAGGTTGACAGATTTATGTCAGCGATTGTTGCGACACCCTCAGCAAGGTAATTATGACTGAGACTGCACTACTGACTGCCATTCTCATTCTCAATTCCTGTTCACTACATCACTTATATTAAACTGAGGGAGGAATGCTGTATCAGAGGGCAATCGATAAAATGCTCAGATTGCTGGCATTTTTGCCAGTAATTGATGGGGCAGCAGTGCAGCATTTTTCTGAGGCCTCTGCATCACAAATTATTTATTACCCTTGCTGGTTACTCACGCATTTGTCCTAGCTCGTCCCTCCTCTTTGCTACCACACGCCACTCCCTCGCTTTCCTACTTCTTTTACAGCTTTATTACTAATTTATCGCTCGCTTACTTTCTTTATTCTTGATTCTATATCTGTTGTTTGATTCATCTTGCTGAATGCGTACAATTGACTTATTCTCTTCCATTTAATTCCATTTGTGTGTGTTTACTCCATTTCTGTTCTTACTATGTGCATTTAATAAATGAGTCTCAAATGTCACTTCTGATTGACATTCTCCTGTTTACTGTTGATTGCTCTGCAGCAGCCATTTATTTTTCAGAATTAAAGCTTGCTAGTGCTCACATTCTGCTTGTAACTAATTAAGAACTAATAGTGATGTTACATGACATCATGCTACTTGAACATTTAACGTAGAGGTGATATCAGAAGAGACCTTGTTTTCTGCAACTAATAGTATGTGTATACATGCATGCATGCGTGAGCACCATGTCTGCAGCATTGCTGGCTTGTACTGCATCTTTGCACAGCATTCTTACTCTTCTCCTAGTTTATATTATGACGTGTGTATTTGATGCTTCTCTTGCGGAGGGGAATGAATCGAACGAGTTTAAGCGAAACGATCGCCGTGTGCTATGCTAATGTAAGCAAGAACAGAGAAGCCAGTGATGAGATTTGCATTATCTCGACTTACTTTTTTCTTCTATCATTTCATTGCTCTTGGTTAACAGCAAATGCGCTTTACTGCTCTTATCGATAATGTGTTACTGCTTGTTGTTGCAGTGAATGGGGTTTGCATTGCTTTTGCTTGTTCTACTTGGAATTGTCTTATACTTAGCTCTGCTCAGATTGACTCCCCCTACACCACTTTTTGTTCGGAAGTAATTTGTATGATTCAACACTTATCATTATGACTATTGCTTTCATTCTTCTATGTCATTGTTTATTGTCAAAAAAAATGGTTTTTGAGTCATGAAAATACTTTTCCTACTCCAGTTCTTGGAAGTGTTTCCCTGTTCTTATTCAGTCTTTGCAAGTTTTTCGCTGTTGATTTTTCTATCCCTGTTCTCTTTTCACTCATGTCAAATACTAAGTCTCATTCAATACTTGAAGCATTTAACAAACATCTTGTTTGATCCGGAAACCGTCCTCAAAAATTTCCACGTGTTCTGCTGTCGAAGGTTTATTGCGTTTGTTGTGGTTTGAAAAAGCAAACAAAAAAAAAATTTATGTTTAAGATTAGAAGAATAGTTTTTTGAGTGTTAGTTTTCAAAAATATATCTTTTGTTATATCTGTATTACAGATTGGTGATCCTTTGATAAAAATCATACCACCTTATCGACTTCGAGCAGAATCCTCGTGCTCTTCAGGGAGTGGTGGAGGTGGAGGTGGTGGTGTTGCTGTCGTTGGTATTCATCGTTCTATAACTCCGAAGTTAAGTGTTGGAAATATTTGTAGTGGTGAGAACAGCACCCAGACTTCCTCCACTAGTTCACCACACTTTAATAACTCTGTAAGCAGTTTATTTCTTGCTTGTTATTAACTTTTTAGGATTCTGTTGCTTGCTGTTTTATATCACTCATCATAGTGATTATGACTTCATATTGTCTTATTCCTTACATTCTATATTGCCACAGGTTTGAGTAATTTGTGTCTTTTCAATAGCACATTGCTGCAAATGATAACTTTTGCTACCATAAAAATATCTGCATCTAACCTTTCTACCTGATTGCAACAGACATTTTTTCCTTCTTAATTTCTTTTGCAGGAACTTATACATCATTCTTCAGCGTCACTCAATAACAATTATTACGCTAATGTCAAATTACCTACAGTATCATCTGTTACTGAAAATGCAGTATCTGTTTCATCAAGTATGAGAACGGCAGGATCTACTATGCTTATAGATCCCCTACATCGGTTTGTGTTTCACATAATTTTAGGTGTCACTAGTTGCAGAGTAAATAATGTTTAATGCTATAAAACTCTGTTTTTTTTATTTCCTAGTGTGATGCTTTAAAAATTTCTTTTGATATAGTAACACTTTTAGGCCTTCCTTACAACCAGCGACTGTTGACAGAACCATGTTAAGTGCTATGATGTCGCAGTCATTAGCATTGCATGCTATTCGTGAGGATGCTTGCAGTCCGCCGGTGTCTAGTGGCAGGTAAATTTTAATTTCTATTTTTCCAGTAACCCATAGAGTCAAAATAAAGTAGCGCAGCTTTCTCAGATACGCTGTAATGAAAGATATAATAGACAGTGTTTTCTTTATTTATCTTTTATTGCTTACTTCCATTTTTAGGTCTTCTACGGCCCACAGTACACCTCCTCCTGTTACGGTTTCACTGAAAAAAGATCAGTCATTATATGATTTGCCGTGTTCTTCAAACGCGAGCGTTCCATTGCCCTCAAATGTTGCACTGTTTGGTCTATCTAATCAAAAAGTTAGTCATCAGTGACACTTCTTTTTGGAAGAGTTCCGTTCACTTAGTAGTATTCAAGCATAAAATTTCTAAGTGACTCTAAATGCACTTATTCATACAGAATGAAGTTCTTTCAACTAGTTTGGCGAACACAAAAGATTTGAATAATGGCAATTTAATATCTCAGCTTGAAATCAAATTGCATTCGAAAACAAATTATGCTTCTACGGATAGCGGTGCAGCTACAAGCCTTGGAAACAAAGCTAGTATGTTCTTGCTTCAAAAGTGGAATTGATTAATTTTCAAGAAGAGAAATAGTTATTTCTGATCAGTAGTATCTTTGCTGATTTCAACAGCAGTCTGCTGAAATTATTTTTAGTCAAAAGAAAAGCAGTTGAAGGAATTGATAGACCTAAACGTCCCCGTAACACCAAAGCCTGTAAATCTATGAAAGCATTGCTCGAATCAGTAGGACCATTAATTTCGGTATTTTTATATGGATAGTTCAAATCTGTAGTGTTTGTATAAGACCTAATTCTTTTAGTGGATAACATATATACATTCAGTGTAATGAGTAGGAAGGAGCTAACCTCAGTGGTTACTTTATCAGTGTGATTGTTGCAGGTGAACTAAGCTCCACATTCTCTATTATTTTGAATATGGGATTTTCAGGAGACAGTCTCAGATTTTCAAAGAGAACGCTTGAATGAGAGAGATGGTGTCAATCTAACATCTGTAGTCACTTCACATCCTGCGGGTTTTTCAATTTCTGACGAGCAAAGCGTGGCAATTTGCACTAGTGCTGCATGCACCTCAGCTAGTAAACATTTGAAAAGTTTTTTTCCGAGTTATATGTGCGAATTATTTCCATATTTTTAATTTTATGAGCGTATCCTTTAGGTTCAAGTCAGTGCATAGCAGCGTTTTCTCCAACAGCAATGCAACACCAGCAGTCGTCGCCAACAGCAGTCGCGACAGTACAGCAAACTCTTGTTGGTGTGCCACTATTGAGAGCTCAGTCAAAAGCTGTAGTTACTGCAGAAACCAGGTGAAATTGTCAATATATTTTACTCTTAGTCTAATTGCTTATTATTTTAGTGTCATAAAAATTTTAACTATATATATTTGTGAATCTATTCTACGTTGGAAGATTGTAGTCACTGACCATTTATTTCGGATCACTGTGCTCTCAGTATCTTCATTTTTATCGCATTCAGTAGTTCTTTCAGTCCCGCAATTGTAGCGGTAGATCGAGCTCACGTAACTTCGTCGTTACCGTCAACATCAGGTGCTGTAACATCAGCAGCCCTCTGTCCTGTTTCACAGCAGCAATCAGTATCGTTTCCACAATCAATGGAGGAGTTGTTGGAAAGACAGTGGGAACAAGGGTCACATTTCTTGATGAGTCATGCCCCATTTGATAGTAATTCATTTTTAAATCTCATTTTCCTAAGAACTGCGTAGTTATTTATTCAGCAAAAAAACTGTTACCTTGAAATTTCTGTAGTTTCAAATTTTTTCCAAACAATATTATGCCGGACAAGTACTTACTGTAACATAATGAAATTTTATCCAATTTTTCATACATGGGATGTTTGGAAATCTGTTCTCTTGTTTACTAACTACATTGTTCGTAAATAGAACATTGGTGAGGGTTTATAAAATCCTTGACTTAATTCATAAAATTTGCTTGCTAAGTTTAGTTTTTGTTTATTTTTTTTCAGTTGCTCAACTTTTATCATGTTTACACGAGTTGAAAATGGAAAATGTCCGTCTAGAAGAAACTCTGTCGCAGCTTGCTAGACGGCGAGATCATTTATTGGCATTGAATACTAGGTTATCACTGTCGCTAGCGAGTGGATCATCTGTTGGTCTCGGCACCAGGTATGTTTCTTCCTCAAGTACATCTCTCATCATCTTCAATGAAACTGATAAGAAATTAATTACAAGCGAATTGGAAAGTAATAGAATTCGATGTTAATTGTCTGAAGTATTCATTTGTGTAATTATATCATCATTGCCTGGGTTATGAGCTTCAAATTCTGCTTTTATCTATCTTACTTGTGTCTTTTTGTTTTTATTAGCGCTAACAATATTTTTGTAATATTGAATTCGCTTTTCTAACTTGGGCAGCTTTCGGTTTGATTTTAGGATGATAAGGTGACTACTGACTCTCAGGGCAGACGTATTTCAGCCCGCACCATTCGCCTCGAATCAGTGCAACAGGTAGTAGCAATGGAAGTAGTGGTTTCCCTGTACCGTCAACAACTAACATGCAATCAAGTAGTTGCATTTCGTCGGTGCAGTGCTCAGTGCAACCCACCTCTTCGTCATCTATATCAACGGTCCCCTCCATTATAACTTTGCCATCATCGACTGTATGTGCGCAACAACATCAGCAACAATCAATTCCAGCAGCCGGTACTTCAGTCACTTCATTCTTGAATCCATTTTGCCACTCTATTCCGCCTGTTGTTGACGACTCTTTGAGTCAGTTGCGGACACTGGCAAGCAATGGATCTGTTATTGCAAATCGAACGGGTCATACCCCTCAAACGACTGTAGTCGCTGCTTCTACACAGTTGTCTTCTGGTGCTACTGAAAATTGTCAAACTTCTTTAGTTAATACTCTTTCTGCTACCGCCTCATCGCAGCAAACTTCACTTTCATCTACTCGGTTAGTTTTTGCTCGTAATATGGCTGTGTCTGTAGTTATCTGCGCTGAATACATTTTTCAAAATTTTCTGTTCATGTTTAGGTTACAGTCAGCGACATCTAATACGGGAATAAGTACACCGCTCATGGCAAACTTCGATAATGTACCGCTTACAGCTAGTAAACCTTCGGTCGCTACTCCGAATGCGCTGGATCTGTTTGGTGGGTCGCAAAGTGGTGCGCATTTAACGTTGACATCTGAACGACAACAAATAGCAGCTGCTGCAATTGCTGCTGCAGCTGCTGCAAACGCCTTGACTGGAGGTTTTGTTGCTCCCCGAGCACCAGGTCATTCAAATGCTACTGTTTCCGGTGCGTCTACTATTGGGCAACTTGCTCCCACGGTAGGTTAAATATCACTGTTTTGTTGCTGAATTTCGGTGATTAGTGAATAGTATTAATGAAAATTGGAAGGCCGTCATAAAAGAATTAAGGCGCTATAAGAAGTATAATCATTTCAGGAAATATTAGCACAGTATGCACTGCTTGCTCAGCAACAATTACTCCATCAACAAGCAGCAGTAGCAGCACTAAGCGCTAGGTACGGCAGTCAAGTCATCTCAAGTTCGACGTCGCCGCACTCTACAGCTCCAAACACACAACTTTCTTCAAATTCTCATTCGGGAAAATAGGTGAAAATTATTTCGACAAGTGGTTTTACTAGGGGTTTCCAGTAGTATATGAAAGTTTTAATACGGAGCGGAGATGAAATAATAGTTCGAAAAATATTTTGAGTACCATATCCCGTGAAATGGATCTATGATTTGCAGTGTTAAGCAAATGAAAGACGAAAATCACCAGACATCAGGTTCTATTGTTTTCTCCGTGTTATTGTTGTAAATATAATCATATATTAGTTAAGTGAAATTGGTTCGATGTGTAAAATCTTTTTACTGTGATTTATTTAAGTTTGGTTCACTCACAATTGGTATTCATTATATGTTGCTATTTCAATATTGTTGTTGAATATTTTTGGGTGTCATTTTCATTTCATTTATGGGTAGGGTTATAATGCATATTAATAGAGACCGAGAAATAAATGACTTAGTTTTCTATCTTGGTGCTTTCATTTCTCAAATCTAACAAAAGATTTCGTGCGCCTTGTCCATTGAAAAAGCATTTTTTACTTACCTCTTTTTCCGCATCGGTTTTATCATTCTGTCATCATGGTCTTTTGCACTACTTCGACTGTAAGTTCAGTGTTTAGTCTAACCATATTCCCACTTTGTGATTTGAAATACGTTGCATTTTTTTTTGTAATTCTGCAACCAGGTGTTAGTTTTTTTCTCCCGGAAACGAGTGCATGTTTTTTTAATGCTTAAATATTTTGGGCATCTCTGTGAGGGAATGGCTGCACTAAAATACTGACCGTCGAAAAATTAATGGTACGACGTATCGCGTAAATTTTCTTCTCTATTATATGGGCAATGATCTAGAAAAATCCAAAAATTTGGTTTGCATTGAATGAAACGTTGTGATTTAAAATTTGTCTGCAAAGGGCGCCATAATTTTTATAATGTATGAATTTTTTGTTGTTTGTCTTATAATATGTAAAAATCCGGTTGGAATGCCAGCTTTTTTGATAATTAGAACTGTTTATCCTTCACGGATCTCCTTTATTTCAATGATTTTAGCGGTTAGAAGTAGTTGCAGAATTTCCTTGGTCAATTTCTAGCACAGAAGGAGAATTGGTTACCTACTTTGTGTTATTCTTTTGCATATGTGTTCTCAAAGTTTTCTCCTATGGAGATCAGTTTCTCAAAAGTTGTACTAGCTTTTTCTTTCCATTGTGCTGATAATGACCAGGTCTGTCGATGATCAAAGATTGAAAACATTTCTGTACGAGTTTTCTCTGTTGCTGTTATTGCAATTTATGACGAATTCATTGAGTAAAGACTACAAATCAATTTGTTGTGTTTTCTTACTGATTCATCAATCCTCCTATTGAGTGCTTTGATGCTTAATTCCAGCAGCTGATGCTACAAAAAATGTGTGTAGGCTGACTTTTGACATCTAGGGGAAGCTATCTTTGTGTCAAGTGAATTGCCGAGATGAAGTAGTCGTGGTTCAGGAATATGCACTGCTTGAAACTTGCTGAACGTATTCTTCAAAGGGAAGGATCTTAGGAAAAGGGCTCTGGTAATTTGCTGAGGGAATACGATCTAGCATGGTGATTGGATTTTGTATCTGGAGTATTTTCGTCTGGAAGTATATCTTGGGGTTTATGTTAAAGACAGTTTACTCTAGTATTTGTTGTGCTCTGCAGTCTCTATGTTGCAGTGATGTATTTGGTTGGCTTGACGGGTGGAATAGCAACTGGAAAAAGTACAGTATCGGAAATATTTATGGAGAAAGGCATTCCAGTCATTGATGCAGATTGTATTGCGCGTGAAGGTATGTCGTTATCATTTTTTTTCTATTCTCTATAGGGCTGAGTATGCTTTTGATTGAGTGATTATAGGTGACCTCTTATAGTGTCGGGGATGTTGGAAATTCTATGAGGTAGTCTATTGTGTAGAGCTTACAAAATTTTGAAGCAATAGAATTGTTTGTAAAATAATATTCGTGGTCAAAAATGAGTGCATTTGAAGTTGTTACGCCTGGTTCAAGAGCTTACAAGAAATTACGAAAACATTTTGGCGATGAATACTTTGATAGTATAAGTGGTGAACTGCTAAGGAAGAAATTTGGTGATTTGGTTTTTGACAACGAAGAAGTATGTTCTTGAAATATTTGAGATATGTAGTTTGCTCTTAAATTTGTATGCATCTCCATTGTTGTGCAGTTAGTTATTCAAATCGTATGTGCTTTTTTATTATTGGTGTTTGCTTAGATTTGGTTTTTTATTGAGACTGGTTGTATGTTTATATGGATGTTATAATTTTATCAAATTTTCAGGTGCGAAGTACAGTTAATTCCATCACACATCCTGAAATATTTAGAACGATTGTACGCAGAATTTTGTATCATTTCATTCGTGGAGATAATTTTGTTGTCATAGGACTTCCATTACTTTTTGAAGCTGGTTATGCAAATTTTATGCAAAAGATTGTAGTGGTAGATTGGTTAGTATTCCCAGTTGAATATTCCAGGAGTTTGCGTTAACAATACGGAATTAGTTTATGAATCCATCACTTTTGGCGGAGATTTCGTGCTTCATTCTATTGTTGATTCGTATTATGAAATTTTCAGAGTTGGAGGCGAGAGACTATTTCAAATATCAGTAGCGCAGAATTTTTTAAAATTATCTATGAATATAGGATTTGAGCCCTCACAAAATCAGTTTACTGAGTAAAGTGTAACCTCATAAATAAGCATTCTTGTTCTGCATGACTGGCAATGTTTTCAGCATTGAAGGAGTGCAGCTTGTGCGCTTAATAAAACGTGATCATATTAGTTTGAAGGCAGCTCGCAAAAGAATTCGTGCACAGATTCCGATGTCTGTTAAACGCCGTTGGGCATCGTATATTGTGGAAAACAGTGGCAGTTTGGAAAAAACACGAGAGCAAGTGTTGGATTTAATCCTTCATTTGCAAGCATCAAAATTGCATCTACTTATCCGTTTTGGAATGCTTTTCATATTTATGTTTCTTCTTACCTTAAGCCTTATGATTTTATGGTAGTTTTGTTCATGGCTTACTCGAAGTATATTATAATCATACTTCTGTATCAATTGTTCGAGAAATGGGTTTTTTTTGCTATCGTTTGTAGTTTACTGGTACTGTAGCCTAATTCGCTTACAGTATTTTGCTGTTATTATCACACGTTATAAAAATCCGAATAGAAGGAAAATGTGAAAGAAATTAAGAATGCAA